AATCAAACTAAACAGAATGATAAGACTACTGTGGCTTTTAAATCCTGATACACTATTAACAACGTCCTCTGCCTTCCTTTTTTAGGCAATTCCTCCCCTTTCCTTTTCTCAGGATGCTTTGCATATTTTGGGTCCCACTAGCATCCTTTAGTTTTTAGATTAGGGGGTCAACCTGAGTGGTGCTGAACCTTTTTATCCCTGAGCTTGATCTTGAGCTGTACTCCTTTACTTACTAAAGCCACAAGGTTTTCCTTCCTTCTAGCTGTGTAGTTCTCCACTGCACAAAAGTGTCATAACTTTCTGTGGCTGCTGGACCACTTGTCCCTATTTCTCTCTGACTGGCTCAATTTCTTATTAGTTAGGTCACTAGCCTTTAATATTCATGGAAAACAGCCACCCATGAGTGTTTGAGCTTCCTTGTGTTGTTTTAAATGTTTATCTAAAAATAACAAACATCTCACTCTTTAACTGCCTTATCTACTATGATTTACAAAAGTCTTGAATCATGGTTAATTTTAATTTATATGGTTATATCAAATTTCTTCACTTGTTAGCTTGATCCTGTTAGTATGTAAGCAACTATGACAAAGAAAACAAAACTCAAAAGCCCAAATTCTCAAGTTTCTTTCTTTCTTTTTTTTTTTTTTTGGCATATGACAAATTTCAGAAATACAATTGTATCTGATGGTTTTTCTCAACTATGAAAGAAAAGAGTAACACCCTACATAGACCATTAGACTTGCTGCCCAAAGTGGGGAAACATTTGAAAGGGTAAGATTATACCACAGGCTAGTATGGCCCAGGCCATTTTACTATTCAACAAGAAGCTATATAAAGACTTTCTGTTTGGAAAAACAATACATTTTCAAGTGTGCAATGTTGATAATGAGATGACTAAGTTGCATTTATTTCATATTCTTCTAGCTCATCTTCAAATTTGATGATGTTATTATTCATGTTGGAAAGGCACAGGAATCCACACCTGCCAGACCCAGGGCATCTCATGGTAGATATATATACATGCATGCGTGTGAGTATATATATGTTCCCCTTTGCACTTATTTAAGACTTGATAATTACTTTTAGTGAAATTATGAGCTTTACTTGTGTATTATAGAATCTACCAACTTGATAATTATAAATGTAACAGTGAAAATTAACAAAGATTAAAAAATTTAAAAAAAGAAAATTAACGAAGATGTGCATCGATGTGAAAGGCAAAATTCTTTGCTTGAGAAAAATAAATTCATCTATCTTAAAAGCAAACTACTGCTATGCCTGAACACCAAGTTATGATACTGGAGCCAAGAGACTGAGAAACTGAATTAAATGTAGTATCTAACTCATTCATGACTTTAGAGCTGGTTAAAACTGCAATTGGTTCTGCTAAAGACAATTTGAAACTGAAAGATTCCATATTTTATTTTCTATTTCTATTAGTTCCCAAGGGGCTTATTATATTTAACATATTGTAAGTGCTGTCTGTTAAAAAGGTGTTTTTTTTAAAAATCACATTTCATTTGTAAAACGTTAGCAAGCACTCCAACTTTTATTATTGTATGTTTCTTCACATGACATATGGGACAGATGTTTGCAAGTTGTTATTCTTTCTTGAGCTCAGAAAAGTACAAAAGATACTTTTAATGTAAGAAAATAGGTAAAACAGACATACTTGTTATTAGAGAAAAGTCATATGTAAAATAGTTTAATTTCAAAGGCATTAACAATAGATACAGGGAAGTTTTAGTCTGTTTTAATCAATTTCATCTTTCATATGTAACATATCTTTTCTTCACGGTTTAGCTAACACTGCTATATTTCCTTATAGGCATTTCTGGTTATATCTTTGAAGAAGACTACCAGTATACAGAAAACATTTTATAAACATAATAAACATTAAGTCAAACATTCTTTTCTTCATTGAGCAATGCAGTATTTTATATACTCTAACTTGGGTGAGAATATAAATGTAATAAGCATTAGAAATTAAAAATACTCAAGTAGGTAAGGCTGCCTATACCGTACCAAGAGTGCCACAGACACAAAGCAGAGAGAAGGAGATATTCCCAAGGAGTCACCCAGGGAACAGGCAGGTTGGTACTTTATGTGAGGGTGAGTGGAAGGAAGAGTCCTTTGCTGCTTTCTTCCTCTTTAGTATAAGCTTTTCTTCTCCTTCTTCATGACATCTTTGTAATATATTTTTCTAAATTTTCTTAAATTTTGGCCTCCCAAAGTGGAGAGAGTAGTCTGTTGGTGATCTGTGCAATTCACTTACTCAAAATACTAAGAGGCACCAAATTTATTCTTAATGGGTTGTAGTCATCAGTCCTTCATTCTTATCATTTAAATCCAGAATCTAGTTAATAAAATCAATTGACTATATCCCGGTTCCCATAGGAACAAAATCATACTTTACCTGCATCATTTATTTTGTACACTGGATGAAAAAATACATTCCCAAAAGAGAAAAGACGACCCAAAGATTAAATACGTTCATTTCAAATTGTTTTAATCAATCGAAATTGTAAGACTGAATCATCAATATGGTTTTTTGAGGTAACTGTTTTTCAATAAATCAGATATTTTCCCTCAAATTAACATTCTTTAAATTCCAAATAATGTTTTGATCTTTACTTAGGAAAGTTCTGTGCATATTCATTTACAGATGTGTGTTTTGTGTAAGAAACAGGGTACACATCCCGGTTTTCCATTACTTTTTCAGTAATGATGTAGGGAACTAACAAGCCTTACTACCTTACAGCAATGCTTGTTTCCTGTGAGAAAACTTAATATCAAACAAAAACCTAAATATTTTCAAAGACAATTTTGAGCACCCAAATGAATGAATGTTCAATGTTCAAATATTAAATGTATGTTTTAATTTTAAGTATAGTGGTGAGATTAGAATATATTAAGGTATGAGAAGTTGGGTATTAAAGAAATAAATCTCTAGGTTAGATCATAGCAGCAAAAGTATATTTCCTTTGGAAAAAGTAGTAAAATACCTAATATTTTAAATATTAATAATGATGTCTGAAAGTTATTACAGAAAGATTTGCAGTTTTCATTAAATAATCCCTAGGAATCCTGAGGCATCTTAGTAAAAAGTGGTTCATAGAGAAGATGATTATCACTTTCTAGAAAATGAAGGCTAATTTCTTTAGGAAACAGAAACTACAGTATCAGAAAATAAAAAGGGTGTGTAGCCCAAAGGATGTGAGTACAAATTCTGTTATGTCTTTCTCTAACCAGATGAATTTGGGAAAATGAGTTAAATATCTTTATTCCTTTTTTTTTCCAAATATAAAGGTCAACTTCATAGAAACTTTGCAAGGAATAATTTACAGGAAGTATAAATCATGAAACCATAATAAAGAAAGGACCTGACAATAATTACCTTCCTTAATACTACCCATCCATTATGTAAGTATTGGAACTGATTATATGTGTGGATATATATATATCCATTTGTTATTTAAAATGTCTTCTTCATATATATATATATATATATATATATATGAAGAAGACATTTTAAATAACATCCAAAGCATCTCAGTTGCAATGGGATGGGTTTAAGGATGTGGTCTTGGTCATCCTAGGATGGAAGAATGAAATTGAGATCACTAAATGTTGGGAGCCATTGAAACTGGAACTTGAACACACGTGCAGTGCTGGTGCATGGCCAGGGCAAGATAAAGTCACAGCTGAGGACACCTGGCCCCAACTAAAACTAACTAAATAAAGACTGTAGCTACAAGCATTTCACTCCTACAGTGAAATCAACATGGAGATCTTTTCCTAAGATACTTCTCTGAAGTTAGTATCAGATAGTTCTTCTAAATTAAACATAATTTGTGACTTGGCAAAATCCTTGAACCACTCCCAAGGTCTGTTTAGTTTTCTGCATTTTCCGCTCTAACCCCTTCTTTGAATACTAAATAAATATAGGCAGCCCAGAGCCAGTCTTTGTCTCAGCCCCCAGAGTGTCTAACTCTGCTACAGGGTTTTGATTCTCCTGGACCCCTAAAATCATACCACTTATTTCATTTATTTAAGCCTTCATTGTATACTCATTTGGGAGATTGGGGATCGAAGCCAGGTCCCAGATAACTAGAGAACCCAGGTAGTTATACAGACTCATCTTGGCCTTAGTATTTTTGTATACTGCTTGCTATGGCTTGTATTAGATGTCCTCCCAAAGCTTCATGCACTCATAATGGGGCTTTTAGGAGGCAGCTGGGTTGTAGGTGTGTGACATTGGGATTAAGGATGTGTGATAACTAATTTACTCCACTGATTTGGTTTAACAGTGTGCTGGGTATGTGTAATTCAAAGGCCCACTCCTGAGTGTGGCCTACCATTCACTAGGCTTGTAGCCTAGATGGAAAAAACAAAAGCAATGCTTGCTGCTTTTATGCTTGAACAGCCATAACTTTCTCCTCTGTGATGCCCTTCTGCCACGCTGACTTGCCTTGGAGACAGCTGGCTGTGGAATGAAACCTCAACAAACTGTGAGCTAACATGAGCTTTTCCTCTAACTTCGGGTGCTGGGTATTTTGTCTCAGCAACAAGAAAGTAACCAAGACACTTCTCCATTCCTGCCTACTTCTGGGTAAAGCACTTCCCAGTGAACTATGTTTATTAATTTTACTGAGGCACATATCTCTATTTTATGTATTTATATGCCACACTTTCACACCACATAATAAGATAGGCTATGATCCATATTATTATTCCCAGAGCACAATATAGATCTTGGAAAGGATATTTAAATGGATAAATAAACAGTTTATTATCTTGGACACATCAAAGAGAGATTTATCATGAAGAAAACCATCGAATAAGATGGCACTGTTTCTTTAAAAAGTCTGCTATAACAAATTAATTCATTTGCAATGAAGAAAATCTACAAAACATGTGCTAGTCTTATTGGTGAAAAGGATGACTGTTAACCTTCCTAAAGGGTAATATTATAAGCAACTCAATGCAACGGTACTTACATTAGCCAAATGAGCTAGCTCTATCTCCAGAAACGAGTCAGTTGTCTTGGGTTCAGGCCTGATTGTGACCACGATGATTTTAGAATTAACAACAGTATAATTTCTGGAATACAAAAAATAATTACAATTAAAAGGAGGAAAGAGTCATGAAAAACTATGATTCATACTGCTCAACACTGTTGAAATGAAATTGAATAAATATACTTCAAGTGAAAACATAGATATCATAATTTCATTCATGAAAAGTTATCAGATTCCTGTGATAAACAAATTCTATCTGAAACTGGAAAACTATGAGATACAAAAGTATTTTATCATTTCAGATGTGGGAAAGAAAAAAAAAAACAATAGCACTGACAAAATTCTGATTACTTAAATTTGATGTAAGAGTGATAAACTGTGAATCTGAACTTTCAGGCAGTCTTTGAATACAACTCTTTCATCTCAAGAAGAATCCAACAGTTTTGGATACTTTTCTTTCAAGGTGCTTTTTAAAGCATTTTTAGACTACCCTAAAATGTATTAAGGTGAAAAACTGAAATGTAGAATAATGTGCTTAACCATTATTAACTATTGTTATTAATTTTCACTCATCATTCATTTCAGAACTAGAGATTTACAGGACATTGCTTTAGTTCAATATTCTCAACTAAGAAACAAATCTATCCTTTGAAATATGTTACTAAGTGTATTTTATATGGAAACTTTAAATGTTTTTATGTGTAATCATTCTTATAGTCTATAAGAATTATCTATAAACATAAATGAACTGAATTTTTAATAGTGCAAAGAAATTTTCAACCAAAATAAAGAAAATGCTGCAGATTAACTGTTATTTAGGTATTTAAGAATCTGATTATACTTTTACACATTTGGAAAAGTAAGTATATTCATCCATCTTTATTGACTTGAAATAAATCACCTGCTTGTGCATAAAGCAGATAGTGATAGTGGAATTCTTATTAGATACCAAAGACAATGCCATTTATATTTTATCTTTATTATTCTCTAAGATATTGTTTGCAGATGATCAAAATCACCAATGTTAAGTATAAACCTTCAGGTAAGAGCTTTGGTAATTCTACACTAGCACACATGCACATCAAAATAGACAATGAGAACCTCCCTTAAATATCTTCCTTGAGCTCCTTAACATTTGATCTTCTCTTTTCCTGTAGTCCAAAGAATCATGACATGCCCAACTAACCTAGATTTGCCTTGTCTAGGATTTCATTTAAACAAATCATTCAGTGTATGTGTTTTTAATGTCCTACTTAATTCACTTAGCATAATATTTTTGATTTTCATACAATTTGATCATTTTGTATAGCTGAGTAACATTGAATTTTATGGATATAATGCGATTTCTTTACCAATTCACCAATTAAGTAAGCAAACAGTGGATGGGTTACTTCTGGTTTTTAATTTTTATGAGTATTCACCTTGTGACCATTATGAACACTTTGTCATATATGCTTTCTGCATGACCATATACTTTCATGTTTTGGGAAAACATCTGGGAGTAGCATTTCTGGGTAATGTGGTTAAAGTGTATTTAGATTTACAAGTTAAATTGCTGTTAAAGTAACTATGCCACTGAAGTCCTACGTTCTTATATGGTAGAACCAAGTGGAACCTCTCATTCTTTTTTCTTTTTTTGTCCTGGAAATCAAGCTCAGGGCCTCGCATTTTTTGGGCAGTCTCTCATTCTTCATAATAATGTTTTCTATGAGGGGACTGTATGTAGCATAAGATTTTACTAGACAGCAACACTGATCTAATGCACTCTTGTCACTATATTTAGTAGCAGAGGAAATAGAAGCACACTTTAAGTGGTATATCATTTTCTAACCCATTTCTCATGTGTATAGTAATGTCAAATAAATTGGTACACACTGAGGAAGGTATCCAGCCTTGTAGTAAATACTGAGAAACACTGAGGTATGTATTTATTTTGCTTTTCTTATATAGAAAGTGACTGTAAACAGAGACAGCTGGTTAACTATCATTTGTTTCATTTAATACTAAGGGAGTCAGCTGAAGGTAAGCTGCATTAAGGATATAAAACTAAGCTCTTAATGTTAACTTTACTTTTTCAAATTATCTATCCCAGTAAGGAACAGTGATCAGGAGATCAGATGAGAATAAGCAGAATTGACGAAGCTGGAAGACAACCCTGGTAATGGATCATATTATTAGCACAGTCGTCAGGCCTCAGGAAAAGGGTAAGGTGTCCAGAGCTTGGAATTCAAAGGAGTGTCTGTGTACTTTCACCAGGAAAATTACATCAGTTTCTCCCAGGAAAAAACTGGTCCTGAACACACAGATACAAGTGGCCTTTTCACGTTAGCCTGAATATGTCTCAATTCTGGTCTGGATACTAGAAAGTAAAACATTGATGCTTCACTCATTCCACCTACCACTTTAATTTAGTTTTGTTAATAATCCCTCTTCCCTGCTATAAATAAAAAACAGTAAATGTTAATTAATGTTAGGTAATTTTAACAAAGTATATATATATATATATATATATATATACATATATATATATATGAAAGTTTTCAAGTTACATAACTAGATAATTTTCTGGAAAACATAGATGTGCATGCATGTTCACATAGCAGTTTGCAATTTGCTGAGTCACTTACAAACTTCTCTGTGTGTTCAGGCACATGGAGGTTTGGGCATCAAGTGACAGGGGACAGAACAGACAAGCAGGTAGGTTGCAGATGCCTCTGTAGATAGAGTACTTTACTCTTTGTCAGGCTCAACAGTCTTGCAACTGGCCTGAGAGGCTTCCCAGAGGATGTCATCTGTGTCCCAGCCTTTGCTACGTGTGAGTGTGTTACAGCCTATTGAGAACTGAATTGGGGAAGTATGCGTATCAACTTAGGGCGTATACGTGTTACTGTCTCATTTACATGTGCCCTTCTTGTGTCATGACACAGTAACATGACGTTAATTCTCTCCCGGTTCCAGTTCCTACATGCCTCCTTCCAATGACAGTAAACCTCAGTGAAGCCTGTGACACTGCCTCACTTACCCATCGTCATTTATGGTATGCTTGGTATATTTGAGTGCTCAAAATATGCATGACTAGCTTGTTGAATAAACACATTTTAAACAAAATATCAAACTTTTGCCAAGTTTATTTAAAATGCAATGCCAATATCACGGTATAAAATGCTCAGTGAAGGAAAAATAAGCAAATTTATCTTATGCTAGGGCTCCATTTTTTAAAATTATGTACTGTTCAGCATTATCTTAATATATTCCATCAATTTAATGCAATTTGCATAAGTGAATAGCTGGCTCTTGATAAGCCATGGCAGGCTTAGTGATGTACTAACACGTCCAGGCTGGGTGAACATTTGCATTCACTGCTAGGAAAGCAGGTCTTATGGCCAAATGGATTTCATGACTAAAGTAATAAAGTTCTTTCTTGTCTTTGAGATTCATGCTAGTTGATTTCTGAAATATTTTAAAATGTGAAGTTATCCCTTCAAAGGAAACTCAACTTATTGTTCACAGTTCTTCAGTTGATTAAGATATTTAGGGCAGATGAATCATATCTTAAAGAGAGTAAAAAATGCAAAGTAGTTGTATGTAAGAGACTCATTTTAGATATAAGGACATGCCTAGGTTAAAACTGAAAGGATTAGAAACATGTTATGCATGTTGTAATCAAAAGAGTAGGGTCAGCTACTTATATCAGAAAAAAAACAGACCTTAAGTCAAAAACTATCATTAGACAAATAACACTATGTAAGGATAAAGTGTCAATTCCCCAAGAAGGTAACAATTATATGCTCTTAATAGCAGGATGCCGAAATGTGGGTGAACTGAAGGAAGAAAGAGACTGTACACAGTAACTGTAGGAGATTCCAATACCCCATTTGCATAACAGATGGATTAACTAAACAGGAGAGTGAAAGAGAAGTGGAGGGCATGAGGAGAACTGCATAATACTTAGGCCTAACATATATGTAGAGGGCACTCCACGCAACAGTAGTTACATATTATTCTCAAGTGCACTCCTCACATTTTCTAGGGAAAAAAAATCACCTTTTAGTCCACAAAAATAAGTTTAATAAATTAAAGAAGATTCAAACCTTTCTCAACTATAACAGACTGTATTAGAAACCAAAAGGGGGGACATTCACAAATATAGAAGAGTTAACACGCATCAAAAAATGCATCAAGTAAGAGATCATAAGAGATATTGGACAGTATCTTGAGACAAATCAAATGAAACACAAAACATGAAAACTTCAGCGGTACAGCAAAAACAGTCTTAGGAGAAAAGACTAGAGTGTTAAACACCTCTATCATAAAAGAGGAAATATATTAAATGAAAAACGTAATCTTACACCTCAGAGAACTGTAAGAAGAATAAACTAAACCCAAAGTTATAAGAAGGAAGAAAGTAATAAAGATTATGGCAGAAAAAAACCATAATAAACAACAGGAAAAATTGAAAACTATCAGTTCGTTTCTGAAAACTAACCAACAAAACAGACAATGTCTTCACTTGACTAAGAAAGAAGAAAGACTCCAATAACGAAAATCGGAAATTAAGTAGGAAATATTACATTCCTAGAAACACAGTATAACAAGACTAAATCATTAAGAAATAAAATTTTCGAATAAACCTGTAACTAGTAAAAAGAGTAAATGAGTAATAATTAAAAAAAAAAAACTAACATAAGAAAAGCCTAGACAAGCATTCTCCACTGAAGGGTTCTATAAAATAAAGAAAAATCAACAACAATCCTTCTTAAGCTTTCCAAAAACAGTGAGGTGGAGAAAGCACTTATGAACACTTCTTTGGTATCTTACCCTGATACCAAAAGAAGATAATGATACTACAAGACTACAATCCATTAACTCTGAATAGAAACAGTAGAATATATTTAGAATCTACTATGAACACTGGGTTTAGCAACACATTAAAAAAGATTATACACCACAATCAAGTGGGATTTACTACTGGAACTGAAAGGTAATTCAGTGTATGACAATCCATCCTCCTAATGCAACCCATTAACAGAATAAAAGACAAAAACTACACAATCATCTCAACTGAAGAAGAAAAGGTATTTG